TGAATACATAATAAACTACTAATGCATGTGCAGTACTTTACAGACTACAATTTGGACGAGGCCCTGATCCAGAAAGCGATAATTATCATTTGATGTGTCCACCATTATCCAGCATCCACTGCTCAGAATATCGAATGTTCTACACGCACATGGCTAAATTGCTTTGTGCAGAGCTTCCTGCAGTGCATGTGTTATATAAAGATAGATATCCTCTTATTGTAAGTTGCGACTATAGCTCGAGGAGGATCTGGATGAATGGTGTTAAAGTAGCCGGAATGCATTGTTGTCCCCATCAGCAAACAAACAGTAATTAATGTGTATGCGGAAGCAGCTATGTAATCAAGATATTCGATGGATGTGCCATGGTCTGACTCCTGATCTATGCATCTTAAATTGCAATCATCACAAATTCATACAGAAGAGCACCAGTATTTCACATTAAAGCGGAGATAGAGATTCGTCATGTGGAAATATATTTGGACGTTTATCCAAAATGGCATTCAATTCGGTAATAACTATTATAAGAGACATATTAGTTAATCTCATTACACATACTTGATGCTGCGATTAGCATGGAAATCTAAAGATCTTCACCTCAAAGAAAATACAGTCAGAAGTGGTGTATAGCCCAGCGGACTTCTTGGGAAGTGGAAGTGTTGAAAAACTTACAATATTCCTTTCTGGAGATCTTCTTTTACTACCAAATTACTCTGATTCTTTGGATGACTTTCTATTTTTACGTAGAAACAATCATAGTGCTTTTCTAGGTAATGTAGCGAATCAAAGATAGATGTAATGAATAATTCCCAGTCTAGTACATCAATTCTTATGCTGCAATCCGGAAAACAGTTAGTCATTGACAGAATTTAGCATTTGTGTACAATAAATGTTCCTATTCTGAACCTTTGATGTTAAAGAATTCTACAAATTGCGATAAAGTCAAACATAACCTCAAAAATATTTTATTGGCCTTGGAAAAAGTTTATTCACAAAACTTTTTGGACGATTCTGACAATGAATCAACAATTTTAAGTTCATTTGAAAATTATAAGAGATGATTTTAAAATCTAGAAAAGCTTCCAAACACAGTACATAAAGATTTTTTGGTGATATATTGAGGACATCCAAAATGCGCTTTTAAGTGAATTTTTACAAAATATCGGGTGGAAACTTAAGGGATTGATTAAAATTTATGGATTAGTGTGGAAACAGTCTAAGAATTTCAAGTGATGCAAATGTCAGAAAATAATAAACAGATTTAAGACAAATTATCTTCCCCTTGGTTTTTTCAAAGGCAACATCGAAAGTTAGTAACAAAGGTGATTCAAGAACTCCGACTCTGTCCTGCTCACCCCAAATGTCGGTTATTTAATTCACTGTTATTTGTGATACTTAACGCTCAGTATTTCATAATTTGCGGCTCAATCCATAAAAGTTTTCAAAATAAATGTAATGCCATAAAGCACACATCTGTATGTTGGTAGATAAAAGAACAAAATTTATTATTTGGTTTCATTTTCCAAAATGAACCCCATAAATTGCCATTCAGTTTCACATCCATACAATTTTCATAAGCCAACAAAGCGCCGCGAAAATTTATGTGTCTTATGCGAAAGTGTTTATCACTTATAATGCATCGGATTATTTGTATTTAAAACACTTCACCACATATCACACCCCATGTTTTGAATAATTTTGCATTAATACAAATGTTCGTCATTACCAAACATATGTGGGAGGACTCTCAAAGTGTAAAGTGAAGATGTGTTGTTCGGCAAAATGAGCCTCTTGGCTTTCTGCACAGTGTCATTTAAGTTTATTACACGGCTACATAATTGTACTCTACATGCTCACATTTAGACCATCCTTTTTCCGCCTAATGAGAGCAATTACAGGAATAAAGGCGCTCTCTCCGGCAAATGTAAAATCATCTTTATCACATTCGATATTACTCTCCGTGTGAAGAGATTCCCCGGCACATAAGGGCTGTTTGTTACTTCTATGTACATAAATTCAAGAGATATTTAGGCCCCTTTTCTGCGTCTAATACACCCACATATGATTAAGGGCGCATAAATTCTAATTGAAATTCATTATTGCCATCAGAAAGTCTTCCTTAATTCGATTTCAACTTTTATGGGGAATTCCTTCATACACGCACACTTTTCTGCTCATTCAACCGCGCAATATAATTACACATAGATTATGAGATAATAATAAGCCGCCATAAGACGTCAAAGATGCTGAAGTTATCATAATGTTCTTTAAAGAGAGTGGTAACTTTACGTGGAAATATGGCAGTAGTAATGAATTCAGATTGTGTTGATTATGGCCTTGCCTTGCTACCGCCTTTATTTACTACACGAGATGTCTTCAAATGATTGTGGGCGCAAATTCTCTTAGAAGATTCTTCTGATCAACCGACCGATCAAGTAAGCGGGAAATTACTGTGTGCAATAAAAATGAAATGTAGCTCTCTGGAATTGCATTCACCCAATGCTAATGGCTAAGCTGTGTAACTTCCGAGGCAGCCCATACTTTGAGTCAAAATTTACTCCTGTTAGACCATGTCTGACAGGCATTTGCAATCCTACTTTTGAATTCTTCATTGGCATTTACATTTGAACATCCAATTCAGGTCAACCATTCTACGAAGTTACTTGTCTTGACTTTTTGCTTAATCTCTTCTCCTCTGCATTGATTACGTATTTGAAATGAATGTGAAATATTGCTCAGTGGATAGGAGATGATGACACTGTCACTACGGGAGGGAAGAGAGTTTGGAATATTTTTCATTAAAACTTTTTCCACTCCAACCCATCTGAGGACTGCTGAAGATGACAATGGAAGTAATTAGCAATGACAGTATTTTCTTCGAGCTGCCTTACCTTTATACACACCCATTGGTTCGCCCACTGTGAGATGAATATCATGAAAATCCTCTTTCGAAGAAAAATAGCCCGCTTTTCACTCTATAATCTCATTTAATTATCACACTTCATAACCAGATTACAATTAAAATAACTTGACCACTCGACAGACATTGCCAACAATGTCGGTGGATTCCGAGCACAGAATCCGCAGTCATGGAAAAATGTGCAGAAGTTGACATCTAATTTCGACCGAGCAGGACAATTATTGGAGGTGAAAGTTATTCTTGCGTGGAACTATTGAAATTCTATTGACAGCTTTTCGTGATCTCTTGAAGCACCTTTTGAATCTTGTATTGAATTTTCCATTTACCCTGAAAGCCGTAATTCTACCAAGCATCAACGCGTCTCAGCAGCTACCTTTGGTGCATCGGTGCAGAAAAGAGGTGAAAAAGAGCACAGTATCGGGAAAGGAAGGAAAACGCAGAGAAAAATCCAATCAGTTGAGAGAAAATCATAAATTCGGATTAAAAATTTTCATTCTCATATACAGATGCAAAATAGAAATCCTTTTAGTGAAATTACACTCATGAATTATGTGCCTCTCTCTCTCCGCCCCAATATTCTCTCATCTTCTCACTTTTTCTTAGAGAGGGCAAAAATATTTTATGTTTCTTGCGGAGTGTTTATGCTGAGGCACGTCTCGAAACTGATACGTACACCATCCATAAGTCACGTTTCCCTTGAACTCCAGGAAAAGTCCCCATGAGATGTGTGCGAGAAAACTGAAAGAAAATGTGGTTTGGATTTGTTGGCGTTTATGGAAAGCGTTTTCTTACTAGGTACCCCTCAATTTTTTACCCATTTTGATAAATGAAATTCCCTCAGAGTGTCGGGATATGAGAGGGAGTGTCATGGAACTACTGTGGGATCACATCCGAACCAACCTGACACACATTTCTCACACGCTCCGCTGGAGAGACGCAGAAAAACTGCGAATGCTCTGTACATGTGAAATTAATAATATGTATACATTTTTTGCCCCACTGCAGGTATTCTCCTCGGCAAAAATCCTGAGAGTTACTCTATCGAAAGATATTTAAAAGTATGCGCTCATGTATTATTCATATACAAGAGCCCCGAAAATTTCTAAGGCAACCCCCTGAAACACACAAGGACTATCTTGCAGGGAAAATAGGTGAAAGATATAGTACATGCTGAGGAATGTTATTTCCATTTGCATAATTTAATTCTGGTAATGTTCAGATGGTGCGCGCGAAATAACGTTCCGGAGGTGAATTATCTTTTGATTACACCATCATCATTCAAATATTTGCTTTTGATTGAGTGCTAGTTAGTGAGAAGAAGCCAAACACTCACTCTCTCTTTATGGCTCATTTCCTCCATCGACGAGATATCTTTTCGAATACCTCTCAAAACAATATAAATATCTTCAATTCACATGTTCTATATCAAATGGCATGAAGACTACTTTATGGACTATTTTATTTCGTTACATTTTATTTCTTACCTCCTGTTTTCGCTGCTCTTTTCCTTTAAACACCCCCAAACCTCACACCAATGCACGCAAATAAAACCCAACTATAAATATTCGCCATTATTGTGAGAATGTAATATTTCTTCTTTTATAGTTTCCATTCAACCATACCTCAACATTAACCAACTCTCATCGTCTTCACTTCCCATTCAATTGAAATTCATAACTCCGCAATTGCATTTTTCATTACACTCGCTTTTTTTGTGTAGTGAAATAAATCAACAATAATATTTCCATATGCAAGAATTTATCGACGAAACTGGTGAGTAGTAAAGAATAAATGTTATTTCTTCACTTTTAATAGTGAAAAATACGAAAATTGTGCATCAGACCAATTTTTTCCACCTGCAGCGACAATCATCATTGCGCGGTGCTCTGCAAAGTGCGAACCTCAAATCTGCAGCACTGTGGCTTGCCCTGGAAAGCAATTAAATGCTCACGGGAATCCGAACTGCAAGTCAAGTAGTCTGCTAAATTCACATTTTGCAAATCAGTGACAAAACAAACAGCATTTGCGAAATAGGCGAGAGATTTTCCGTTAATCGATTGTGAAGTGAAAATTGACCACGAGAATGTCCAGTGAGAATTACGATCCTCATTTGCATCGTGAAGTGTCGAATGGGCTGTCCAATGCGGCCGCTCTGGTGCACATCCTCAAGGGTGCCATTGGCTCTGGCATCCTCGCAATGCCGGACGCACTCAAAAATTCCGGCTACATCAGTGGAACGCTAGGCACTCTCGCGATTGCCACTCTCATTGTATACACCATCCACATGCTCATGAGATGTCGATACGCCATATGTAAGAAGCTCAGCGTGCCGTCAATGTCCTACGCCGAGGCCATGAAGACCGCCTTGGTCGGCGGACCGTCCTGTCTTCAGTCCTTCGCCAACAGCAGCGCCCACATTGTCAATATATTCCTCATTGTCGCCCAAATAGGAGCCTGCTGCATCTACGTGACCTTCATATCGGAGAACCTGCAGAAGGTCCTGGCGCAAGCAGACGTGGACATGGACATCAGGGTCTACATGCTGATCATCCTCGTGCCACTCATCCTCATCAATTGCATTCCAAATCTGAAGATTCTCGCTCCACTCAGCTTATTCGCTAACCTGTGCTCCGCTATTGGCATCTCCACGATTCTGTACTACGTGTACAAGGATGGAGTGTCCTTTGATGATCGGCACGCCATTAGCAATGTCTCCCGCTGGCCTCTGTTCTTCGGCACGGTTCTCTTTGCACTGCAGGCCATCGGTGTGATAATTCCAGTGGAGTACAAAATGAAGCATCCCAAGGATTTCGGAGGAATGCTCGGAGTACTGAATATCGCCATGATTATCGTCACTCTGCTGTACGTCTTTGTGGGCTTCAGTGGTTACTTGAAATACGGCGAATATGTTGAAGGAAGCGTGACACTTAATCTACCCCAAAATGAACCGTAAGTAGACAATATTTTAATATCTTTATACTTCCACAGAGACTGAAATACATTTTATTTCAGCTTGGCAAACTCCATCGCCATCATGTATTCCATATCGATCTTTATCAGCCACCCATTGCAAGCGTATGTGGCAATTCAAACACTGTGGGACGATTACTTCAAACAGCATTTCAGGGAAAATTCAACCAAATTCAAAGTGGCTGAGTACGTCCTCCGCATATCCTTTGTGATCTTGACAGTATTATTAGCCATCGCCGTCCCCAAACTGGCTCTCATCATCTCATTCATTGGAGCAGTCGTCTTATCCATGCTCAGCTTCGTTTTTCCAGCTGTAATGGATATCTGTATTATGCACGCGGAGCACGGAAGCAGATCCAATTGGCCACTATGGCGCAACATACTTGTAATTATTTTTGGATTCACCGGAATGACTACTGGCTTCTACGTCACTATCCGTGACATCGTATCAACTTGAATAATTGCGGAGTAAATTTAACAGTTGTAAATACGAGACCAAATCGAAATAAATTGTTAAATTTAATTATACGCAGTAACTTCGTTATATCTGCACCCGCCGGGATGATTATTGCAATTTTCCACGAATAGCATCCGGATCTATCGATGAGTGTATTTTTCTCAGAAATTTGGATTTTTCCAGTTGACAATTAAATTTTAATTTAACATAAAATGTGTAGTGTGGTCTGTCAATGAATGTAGAAAAATTGTATGAATTCATGCTGTGCTTCGCAAAAACAAAGAAAGAACGACGTGCATTTTGAACGCAGTGACAAATTCGGTGTTTTATGAAAAATATTCCCCATCTTACAGAAAGCTCCGAGGTTGCGATGAATTTCCAGACCCTACTGACCCGATTCTGTCTGGTTTTATTCAAATTTCCCTGGCAGTGATGGGAAAAAGTCTTGCATCCAACCCCACGATATATGTATTAAGATGCAAGATCGTAAGACAGAGGATTACTTCAATCACCATTCTCAGGAGTTGCTGGAGAGGAATAAATAAAAAGTCGGAGCCGCAAACGGTGTGCTCACGGGTAAATTTATTGCCTTTAATTTTGAATGACAATATCTACTTCGCGTGTTCACCCCATTAGAAACATTTGTCTGGCATGTGTTGCTATTATATACCTAGTTTGGAGCCAGCAGTTGAGAAATTTATGCGCTGAATATATTAACATATAGCACACAATTCGAGAAGCGTCACTTATTTTTCATTTCAATACCAAAGTGCTGTATTTCACGGGGAAGCGCCACATAAGATATGATGGGGAGGGTAGATGAAGAGAATATTCGCGCAGTTGAATCCACAATGCGCTCGCATAAATTCTACCTTTCCAGTCGTTGTTTAGAAGAGAAAAATATAAACCCATAAACTCTTCTACAAACGGTTGTTGCTCCTGCTCAAAAATCACCCGTGGAGAGAAAATTACTTTCACAAATTAAGTGGCATATCTTTATGAAGTGCTAAACATAATAATTGAGCTATGCGCATACATATATTGGGAATTACTGTTCTAATTGTCGAATTAACAGCGTAAATCCATCGGGGTGTTGAGCAGGCGCTCAATGGTGCGATAACACTGTTTATTTTATCTTGCTTTTATGATATTATTCGTCAATCCTGCAAGTTGTTCTCCTCTCCTTTTCGGTTTTTGCGCAAAATTTCAAGAGTTTCCCCACTCATCGGCCGTCACCCAGTGTGCCTCTTGAATTACTCCTTAAGAAGATATCTTAGATGCCTAAATAAACACAATCTCCCTGCGGGTGGGTTGGCGCAGGGGGATAGGGTGGTAGTAGATAAAAATAAAAAATTCATGGCCCATCAAGTTCCGGTAATTCGAAAACAATAGATTCTTGATGTCAGAAAGTACCCCTGAAGGAGAAGCCCACGGCAGCGAGCGATGTAAAGCCGTTGAAGCGATTAATCATTTCTACGTCAGCTCCCTCCCTCCCACTCGATCGCGAGTCCTGTACAATAACGCCTCGGCAGAAGGAGCAAGTTGTCGCGATGCAAAAGTTATTAAATCGTTTGAATATCCTTGATTAATTATTACTCCTCGGCGATTGAATGAAGCCTCTCGAAGAGCTGACATCTCCCATGTTGATTTATTTACTCTTCCCACACTTTCGGCTCCCAAACCTACAATCCCAATTGCTACACCAGGGGATTACTTAATTTTCAAAAAGGGATTAACTCCCGTGGCAAAACACTCGCACATGTAATTCGTCTGTAATCAACAAATTGTGCGAGTTTGGAAGGCGATGTTCTGCCTTATTGCATGAAAATTTATTGATTCAATTATCTCAGAGAAGCTTACTCTTGAGAATTTCATCCCCACACCGCCATACAATAATAATAAAGTTTGAAATATAATAAATTATATCACAGCGATAGATTTGTTCCTCACTCAGACTTACTGGCGGAATATGGCAAGAACAGGAGGAAGAAAAGGCATCCCTATATCGTTTGACAATGATGAAATTGAACTGTAAAATACGATGACTAGTATATTTTTTCGTCGTACGTCGTATACAGAATGCTGAAGCATATGGGAAAGTTTTCTTAAAAATGTATAAAAGGGTGCAGGATGAATGAAGAAATTCAATGAGTCAGGACAAAGGCGTTGGAGCGCAAAGCGGATGATTTATGAAAATCGAAGTTGATTTGATACAAAACCGTCAAGCTTTGAAATAAGATTTCACCATTCTAAAAAATTCCTCACTGCTCCCTGTGAGAATGTATTTCTCAATCTTCACTGTGACACAGGAGACACATAATTCCGAAATTCCTGATCAAACAGAAACTGCACAACACATGTGATGGTTGACGTCTGTTGGCCAAAGTGATGAATTGGCTAAATATTGCTTGGTACAAATTAACAAATTTCTCATTCAATCTGATGACAAATCGGTAATTTCATTTCACACATGCATGGTTGATCAACTGTACTTGTAGTCGCACTGGTAAATCGGGTAAAGCACAAAATTAAGGCCTTTATATATGGGCATTTTTATTAAACCATGTAAATTTACTCAACGCACACAAATTCAAATTTAATTCACAGATTTTAATCTGTGTTGTGCACATAATTGCGTAATATATGTAATTGGCCAGTATGAATTAACAATTTATATATTTTTATTTCTATTTGTAAATAAACATGTGTATGCAGACCTTTTGGTCAATAATGTTAATACGCGCCTCCAGGAAAAAAAACTGCAATCATTTAGCATGAGCCAAAGCTTTCTCCGCAATATTCACAGCTTTTGACAAGGCCTTTGATCTCCATTAACGATAGAAGCTACGACCAATCAAAGCCGCTATATTGGCAATTTTATATTTGAATACATGAAATTTTATTGGCTAGAACACAATTAGAATTGGTAAAACTAAAATATGGCTTTTATTTTTGGATTTGCATTGTGCCGTACAGTTTAATCAAATTTCTGCAAATTAGTTTGCTTTAAAAAAAAATTTGGAGCAGCTTTTTGTTTCGAAAAGCAATTTTCCATGCATTAATTACATAAACCTCCAATAATTTCCGGAAAAGCTGATTTTAAACACAGTTTGAATAATAAAATTGCATGAAAATTGTTCAAACGCCCTGAGCACATGAACATTTTTTCGTTTTTTTTTTCTAGAAAAAAAAATCTTCATCTACACACACACATATATATATATATATATATATATATATTCATTGTGTTGTGCATTTAAATTAATTTTAACCATTGAACTTGAATACGTATATCATAGACGGCATAACAAAAAGAACATTTTCACACAATTAATTTGCATTTTAAGTCATGTGAATATTGAAATTTTATCTTTAAATTGGGAACTGCAATGTATTCTAAGTAATCATATGAAGAACATGCACATAAGTATTTTTGTTTAATGGAATATTCATTCTGTATTTTTGTCTCTTCTCCTGCAAAGAATACTCAATGTGCTTAAAGCTTCCGCTATACGTATTTCAATTGGTGTTGCGTTAGGAAAGCAAGAAGGGGCAAAGTACCAGATAAATAAAAGACCCATTTCGGTGTTGACATTTCCCAGTTCCTCCATCAGGAGAATGTGTAGAAAGTCTATAAAAAATATTTCCACCTTAATTTGGGTTGCGATGCGAGAAATTTTATTATCTGCTGCCTTCCTCTTTTCACACCTTCCCCGTCTCGCTCAGTCTTTTTTTATTTTCTTTTAATACAAGTGTATATAGCACTCCCGCGCGTATGTACAATCCTCTATGTATTGTGCAATGTTTGTGAGCAATAGGTGGAGAACAGCTGCTTTTACGGCAATTAAATTTTATCCCATTGGGTGCAAAAAATAAAGAGGCTATTACTCAAGAAGTATTTGTTCAAATGAATATAAAGGGATTTGTGGAAATTTACATTTTTACCAAAGGAAGGTGCAAAAACAAAGGAAGAGATTTCTCTCATTCGAATCAGGTTTCCAATCCCAAAACCTCCCCCGCTTCAGCTCCAATACAAGATATGATAAAAAAAAAGTTTGCCAAGTAGATTAGAAGTCAGTCAATATTTTCTCACTTGCAATGATCCTCCACTATACATACATATGAGCAATATGCTCTGCCAGAGATACTCCATTTACACATAACATGTTTTCCCCTCCGTAAGCATTTTTTTCCGTGCACTGATGTTTATTTATTGGGGGAAGAACAAGGGGATGCTCAGCTCATCCAATTTCTCTCACTCTCGCATTCTCTTCTCTCTGTTTTACAGTATTTGGCAAAATTTACATCCATCGATGTTTCTGCTCTTCGCTCCCTTTCTCCTTTGCCAGGGACTTTCCTAAAGAGTGGGGTTGGATCACAGTTGGGGGTTAATTTATATGGGGGTTCATAACTCTTCTAAATTGACTAGGTTAGGTAAGTGTGCTTAAAAATCAATTCGGTTCACCAATTCGGGCAAAGGTTATATCCGCTTTTTCCAAGGATTGAGACTTCCAATATGTTCACAAAATTCAAGAGCTTATGAAGAAACTAATTTGCAAAAGGAATTCTTAAAATAATTTCCCCAAGATATAAATTGTTTTGAATGTGGAATCTTCGGTGGAAAAACTGCTTTCCAAGTTGAAAGTTGTGAATTCATTAAAATTTTGATAGTGTTTTTCTAGCCGAATAATTTTATTTATTATACTCCATTATTTTCGACAGCAGAAACTTGCCAAAGAGGAAAAATTTTCCTCTGTTTGTTGACATAATTCTTAAAGTTGAATAGCAGAAAACTGAGGTCAGAACACTTTAAACTTTTTGTATGCAATGAGAAAGTTTTTGCTAAATTTAATTCTTATCTCTCAAGCAGAATGTGTAGATATTTTATCTCGTGAAAATTGAAAGCACTTGTCGAGGAAAGCCTCTCAATTCTTGCAATAATTTCCTTATTATCTTTTCTGTTGAATGTTCTAAATTGGAACTCTGTCTAAGATACTCTTTGCGAACTACAGAGATATTGTTTGAATTTGTAAT